CAAGCTTGATGAAGGGCCTTAAATGTGATCAAAGATTTTCTCAACATCACACAAGAGCTTAAACTTTCCCCCTATGAGTTGCTGCCATTAAGCTAATTCTAGGAGGCACACAGCCTTAGGATGACGTACCCTTAACCTTTCAGCATGATGAAATGCACTATTCATTCCCACTCTTTCACAACCCACGCCAGTGTATAGCCAAGACAATGCTGCCCATTACACTTGAGTAGGGCTTTGCCAAAGACATTTCAAACATCTAAATGTCAGTCCTTTGCCCTTCCTGAAGCCGTCCTCCCAAGTTGTATACATGAAAGCTTCAAGCAGTTCTTCAGACCCTAAAGAGCGAGCCCTATGACCAGAGCAAAAGAAAGTGCCCTCACGGGGGACGGCAGCTCGGCTGGCCAAAGCAGCATTTTAATGCCTACAATTGACCTGCAGAGCTACTAACTTGGTAAACACATTATGAACTTCACTTTGGACAGAGCTGAAGAAGCCAACCTATTTCTTTTTATTTATTTTATATTGCTGTCCTTCTCCATACACCAACACAAGCAGTGTACTATTCATTTCATCTCCACACCGCTTTATATTTTAAAGAAACTTAATCTCAAAGCCGTTTACAACTTACATTAAAACATCAAACAACCCAGAATAAAATATTACACAAAAAGGCAAATATAGACAACAAAACTAACAGGAAACTAAAATATACGGTAATCTTAAAGATTTCAAAATAAAACATTACAAAGGAGGACAAGTGCAGAATGCACATTTAACACAGCAAAGGTAACTCAAAAACATATATATCTCAAACATTTCAAAAGAGAATGTTACAATTCAACGAAACAGAACTCAGTCCACTAACACACTCAAAGGCAGCAACACTGAAATATGGAATAAATTTCAAACGCCAAATACCACCTGTCCTTTAAAAAAAGCAGGGGGCTGGCAGATCTCCCCACACATTTCCTTGCACTGAGGGAGCTGGAAAGATCAACTAATCATGCAGATAAACCTTACCTGGTGCCTTTTCTAATAGCACTTTGGGCCAATTCAGCAGCAAGACTATTAATAGTGTCAAGTACAACAGTCATAGTGTCAGACTCCCCAATCAAAAGGCCACACAAACAAAATGTGCTCCCCTGTCAGGGTATTATGAATTCAATGAAAGGTACCTGTAAACATTGCATGGGAAAGTATGTAGACCTTGTGGGCAGTAGGTTGGTCTTTTATTTTTACAATGAGATTGTTGGGATTCAAAAAACTCCCAGCGGCTTTCAATTCAAAATGGGTTTCTATGGTGCATTAAACAAAATATTTAGTCCCCTTTTACATACTTGTTTTGAATATGCATATGTATATTTTGAAATTATAGTCCAACTGTTTGTGAAAATAGGGGAAGACAAAATAAAAGATGGAAGCAACAGAAGTGGACTAAGGAAAAGCTTTAGACTTTAAAGCAAAAACATGTGTATGCAATTAAAATACAATTACAAGGGCTGCCATGCCATCCTATGAACACTTACTTACAACATTAATAAATAACAACAACAATAATAATCAGGATGGAACAGATGCTGTTGCTTTTCTACAAGGTCAATTGAACTTGCTCTCTTGAAAAAACCTATTTATTATTTAGCAGAAAGGCCAGGCAAACACACTGAGGCTTGGCCATTGCATCATGTTGAGTGAAAGTCCTGCCTTCTGGGCAAATTGTGGACATTGAGTCCACATGGCATTTAACTGGAGAGTTTCTCTGTGCCAATTAGGGTAATTTTTTGGTGCCCCGAGCATGATCTGGTGTGTTTAACATGTTTATTTTACTTTGAAACCGCCACACTTGCCAAATACCATTGCTCCTAATGAACTGATTAAATGAAAAGTTTTCCACAGAAAACAAAGCAATGGAAAAGAAATTCCTTCCACATCACTGCTGCCTATGGTGAACTATTTGCACAAAACAGCAAGGTCAATTTATACCATTTGCAGTACTGGAAATCAACATCTGAGAAGTGTTACACAATCTGACCAGATCATCTTAGAATGCTCAGGATAGTCATTCATGTGAAATCACAGAAACCCATTTACACACATATTCTAGGCTCAGATTCAGCAAAATCTCATCCTCCATCATTCAAGACAACCAGCTCAGGAATAGGTTGGAAGTTCACCTGCCTTGTCTTAAGCTACATCTGGAGAAGGGCTGTGGGAACTAACTCAAGCAGCAGCTGGGAGGGAGGCGTTGAATGTGGCTGGAGCATGATCAGCACATGGATGGGGAGTAGGGCAGTGTGGGCTTGCTGGAGGAGGAAGGGACCCCCTCTGCTGCAGGTGGATTTACTGACCCCTGCACATAGTTAACTGGATATTATTATCAATGGGCTCTTAGGTCACAACACGGAGGCATCAGCGGAAACTACAACAGGAAGAGTCCGGATGCCAACAGTGAGATTTGAGTTGTAGAAGCCTCATCTCCTCTTGGCTTTCTGGACTCCCACAAATCACGAGTCTTGCATACCTCAGCTGCCTCCCACTTCCCACAGCCCCACCTTCCTGTAGGCCAGGGATGGGCAAACTGTGGCCTTCCAGAGGCTGTTGGATTCCAACTCCCACCAGCCGCAGCCATCATGGCCTCAGTTCAAGGGTGAAGGGAATGGAGCCCCGCATCTTCTGGAGACCCTAGTGTGCAAGGAAGATGGAGGACCCGTGGCCCTGCATGAGGGGGTGCCCCAATGCTTTTTTCTCCTTTTCTCCCTCCAATATTCCACTGTTAAGATTCCTGCTCTTCAGGAACCTGCCTCTTTCCCTCCCTTACCTTATACAGGTGACCCTGGTGTTTCTTCAGAGAGCCCTCCTGCCTCCCCTCTTCAAGCTTTGTTGCCCACCTACCTTTTTCCAAGTAAGGTCCTCTGCTCTGCTGCCTAGTCTGCACCTTTTCCTCAGCCCTCTTGCTTCTGGCCTCCCTGTAGTCCCTTATGCTTCAAGGCACCATAGACATATAAAGTTGACAGGATCTCACAGGTCATCCAACGCAAACTCCCTCCAATTCATGAAATTCACAAATGCAGCATCAGAATCAGTGTTCAAAATTAGCCAGGCACATTTTGCACCTGGCTGCCGGCCACTTGCGACCAAGTGAAGACGCCCGGGTGCCAGGATGGCACCTGAAATCCCCACCACCTGGAGGTGCATGCCTGGGGATCCTTGGATCTTGACACACACTTATACCTCACACACTAATACTTCATCCTGTAGAATTCTATCCATTATACTTTATCTGCACAATGAGAATGTTTCTGTGCAGCCTGAGCAGGAGCAGTGAACAATGTTATAGCTAATTACTGTAGCTTGTCTTCCCTTATCCCACCCCACTACCCTGCTCACAGCTGTGAAGAATATTCTTGTGCTATGAATGGTCTGTGCTACCATCAAGAAAAAGAGGTAGGAATAGGCCAATATATATGAGGACTCTCCCTGGATCAAGTCAATTTTCTCCTTTAAGTTCTCAGTTATTAACCTAGCTCATGGTTGTCATCTGAACTAGCCATGTGTTTAGCTGGCAATCAATCACAGTCAGTCCAAGAAAAAGAAGACTTTAGAGCCATCTAACCCAAAAATGGCAACAAGACATTCTGTTTTGGCAACTGCAACCTTCGTTTAAGAGTCTATCTCAACACTGCACATCCACTCAAGGTTGCAGCCGTCCAGGGCTGCTTTTCAGTGAAAAGAAGAGCCCCAGGGCTCCATTTCGGCCATTTACATGCAAGGTACCCTTTGTCCTGGATGAAGTGCCTTTCCCCAAAGGCAGCAGAAGCTAGCCAGGCAGGCAGGCAGGCAGGCAGGCACAGTGCTGTCCCTCAGCAACTGGTGCTGATTCACCCAGGTAAAGAACCCAGGAATTCAGGAACTCAATGCTGTACAATGCTGGGCTTCAACAGGGCCCTGAACTCTGCAGCCCAGCCTGGAGTGCCTCAAAACCGGGCAAAGCTGCTGCTGTGTTACAGGGAGGACGACCATCTTCAGGAGACAAGCTCTTCCATGGCTTGGAGACCTTGCTTGCCCACAGGGCATTCCTGGCACTCATGCGGAGTCACAGATAACACCCAATCTTCTTCCATTTCTTAGCCACCTGCACCCCTCCACTTTTGCCCCGAAAGCCACTCAGACGAAAGATGCAACTATTGGGGGGGGGGTCTGCCTGGCTTGGGTACCATAGGAAGGACCAGCGACAACCGGAGAGCCTCGTGGCCCCTTAAAGCAGGCATGGGCAAACTCAGCCCTCCAGATGTTTTTGGGACTACAACTCCCGGTCCTGTTAGCTAGGGATGATGGGAGTTGTAGTCCCAAAACATCTGGAGGGCTGAGTTTGCCTCTGCCTGCCTTAAAGGCTAAGAAATGTATCGAGGTGCCCAGAAGACCCGCTCAGCGCCCACCGGCCCTCCTCCCTCTCCTCCGAGAAGCCGCCAGGCCTGCCGCTCCCGGGAAAGACCTGCGATCCACAGCGGAGGCGCACAAGGGGGGGGTGCGAAGCCATGCGCTCCCAGGGAACCTTGCTGCCCCTTAAAGCAGGCACAGGCAAACTGGGCCCTCCAGCTGTTTGGGGACTACTACTCCCATCACCCCTGACCCCTGGTCCTGTTAGCTAGGGATGATGGGAGTTGTAGTCCCCAAACAGCTGGAGGGCCTACCTTAAAGAGTAAGAACCGTATAGTGGCCCCCAGAAGACCCGCTCAGCTCAGCTGCCGGCCCTCCTCCCTCTCCTCCGAGAAGCCGCCGGACCTGCCGCTCCCGGACCTCGCGGGAAAGACCTGCGATCCGCAGCGGAGGCGCACGGGGGGGGAGGGGAATAATAATAATATTAATAATAATAATAATAATAATTTATTATTTATACCCCGCCCATCCGGCTGGAAACCCTCCAGAGGGGGGGGGGGCAAGCGACGCGCACCGGCCGCGGGAGAAAAGGGTTCCCTCGGGCCCAACAGGAGGAGGCGCCCTACCTGGCGGGGCTGTTGTCGGGCGGTGAGAAGCGCAGGCTGTGAGCCGAGGAGGCGGGTCGTCGTCCCCCCCCCGGAAAGGCGTCCCAGGCCAGTTCCCGCCCCGGCGTCTCCCACGGACGGCGCCCCCTCAGAGGGAGACGGGGGGGGGTCTCTCGGGGCCTGCGCCGCCCGCCCGTTTCCTGAGGGAGCCAAGGGGCTCCTGGCCGCCCCACTTACTTCTCCTCCCGGCTCGGCTTCTTCCCCTCAGGCAGCGGCGGCGAGAGGCTCGCGCCCGAGGCACGACGCGGCGGCCCACCGACCCGCGCTCCCGCCTCCTCGGCCGCGCGCCGACCAATCCCAGCGCCGGCCGCGGAGAGCCGTCCGCGCCGACCAACCCGCGAGGCGTCCCGGGCCGCCCGCCGCCGAGGGCGTCACCAATGGGGAGGCGAGGACCCGGCCGCCGAGCCACGCCCTCCCCCGGCGCCGGCCGCGCCAGGCGGGAGCCAATCGGAGGGCGCGAGGGGAGGGCCCAAGGGCCGCGCTGCCTCCTCCTCCTCCCCCCAACCTCCCAAGGGCGAGCCGGGGCGCATGCGCGAGCAGATGCCCGGCCAACCGCCTCACGAACCCGGTTGCCATGGTGACGGGAAGCGACGGCCTCCCCGTCCCAGGCCTTTGCGTCCCAGAGACCTTTGCGCATGCGCCTCCAGAGCGCATGCGCAAAGGTCTCTGTCGCAGGACCCAAGACCCCGCCCCGCACCACGTGACGAGCTCCCTGCATGCAGAAAGGTAGCAGGTCAGGGGAAAGGAGCCCGGCCAAGAATTCTGGGAAGTGTAGTTCGCCGCTCAAGCAGGGCTTCCATGGCCAGCATTCTGAATAAAGCTGCTGCCACAGCTGGATGGAGCACAGCCTGAGCTGCCCATATTATTATTATTATTATTATTATTATTATTATTAATACCCCACCCATCTGGCTGGGCTTCCCCAGCCCCTCCAGGCAGCTTCCCAAAAAATATTAAAATACTGTAATACATCAAACATTAAAAGCTTCCCTAAACAGGGCTGCGGGACGCGGGTGGTGCTGTGGGTTAAACGACAGAGCCTAGGACTTGCCGATCAGAAGGTCGGCGGTTCAAATCTCCACAATGACGAGGTGAGCTCCCGTTGCTCAGTCCCTGCTCCTGCCCAGCTAGCAGTTCAAAAGCACGTCAAAGTGCAAGTAGATAGATAGGTACCTGCTCCGACAGGAAGGTAAACGGCTTTTCCGTGCGCTGCTCTGGTTCGCCAGAAGCGGCTTAGTCATGCTGGCCACATGACCCGGAAGCTGTACGCCGGCTCCCTCGGCCAATAAAGCGAGATGAGCGCCGCAGCCCCAGAGTCGGCCACGACTGGACCTAACGGTCAGCGGTCCCTTTACCTTTAAACAGGGCTGCCTTCAGATGTCTTTTAAAGATAGGATGGCTGCTTATTTCCTTGACATCTGATGGGGGGAGTTCCACAGGGCGGGCGCCACTACCAAGAAGCCCCTCTGCCTGGTTCCTTGTAACCTCACTTCTTGCAGGGAGGGAACCACCAGAAGGTCCTCGGCGCTGGACCTCAGTGTCCATTCCGAGACAACAAAGCATCACCTTTGATTCCCAGCTTGCAGACCTCCCCGAGGTGTCTGGGGCGGTAGCAGAGGGGCAGGATCAACTCTGCTGAAATAAATTAAGGACTTCTGTATATACTGTAATAGGTAAAGGGACCCCTGACCATTAGGTCCAGTCGTGACAGACTCTGGGATGGCGGCGCTCATCTCGCTTTACTGGCCGAGGGAGCCGGCATTTGTCTGTAGACGGTTTTTCCGGGTCATGTGGCCAGCAGGACTAAGCCGCTTCTGGCGAACCAGAGCAGCGCACGGAAACGCCGTTTACCTTCCCGCCAGAGCGGCACCTATTTATCTACTTGCACTTTGACATGGTTTCGAACTGCTAGGTTGGCAGGAGCTGGGAGTGAACAACAGGAGCTCACCCCGTCAGCGGGGATTTGAACCGCTGACCTTCTGATCGGCAAGTCCTAGGCTCTGTGGTTTAGACCACAGTGCCACCCGTGGTTCATAAATGTACCAAGCAAACACATAGATATATAGGCCACATGTCTGAAGCTGCACAGGAGAGCAGCCATGCAGCCATTTTGACTCCCAGGCTGACCAGGTGTTTTCTCTGCAAGGTCCAATGGAAGAGCCTCCCCTCTGTCTTTTCCTTCGCAAATCCTGTCTTAAGGGTATGTCTGTATATGAACAGGGTGTGAGCCTGTGACCTGGCTCAGGAACTAAGTATTTATCATTACAAAAGACTGGCCAGGCTCCCCAGGGTATCCAGTCAAGTGAGCATTAACAGGTAACCTGCCAGACAGGAGATAAACAACGCACTCAGATTTCTGTTGTAGACCTCCTTTTCTGTGATGTAGGTATGATGTAACTGGGGGTGGTCTTGGATTCCAAGGTGGGCAATTTAAAATGTCTATATAAGGGTGGGCACACTTGGGTTCTGGGTCCTCCTCCTTTCCTGCGTGTGAAGGGGGCACTCTGTTGCAACAGATGAAATAAAGATCAGGCTTACTAGCTGCTTTGCTTCTCAGTATTCTCTGGCTGGCCTCTGTTATTTTCTCCGACCGACAGAGAACCTACAAAGGACTCTATAAGGGCTCTTGTGTCCCCCATAAGGGAATAAGGGCAGATTCTTGTTTATTACACTGCCATGTGGGCATCCCTGGCACACGACTGCAGGGCCTGGAGCAAGCAACTGGACTCGACAGCATTCCCATTATACCAGCCGTTGCAACCCTCGTAATTTAATTAATCGATTTAATTTCCACCTCCCCTTTTCTCCAGGGAGCTCAGGGTGGTATACATGGTTTGCACCCTCATTTCATCCGCACAACCACCCTGCAGGGTAGGCTCTTGCGTGGCCAAGTGGAGACCTGAACCCTGATGCTGGTCCGAGGCTGTAACCACTGGCAAGCGCTTCTGATTACATTAAGCATCAGTTTTTGTTCTTTCAAGCTCTGCGGGGCTCAACGAACCATTCCCTGAAGGACACTCCGCAGCAGGGGTCAGCAACATTTTCCAGCCAGAGGCCGGTCCACCATCCCTCAGACCTGGTGGGGGGCCGGACTATATTTTGGAGGGGGAAAAATGAACAAATTCCTATGCCCCACAAATAACCCAGAGAAGGCAGCCCTGTTTAGGGAAGCTTTTAATGTTTGATTCATTACGGTATTTTAATATTTTGTTGGAAGCCGCCCAGAGTGGCTGGGGAAGCCCAGCCAGATGGGCGGGCTATTATTATTATTATATGCTCTGGTTTAACTTGTCTGAAATTTCCCCCTGGGGTGGGGGGCAGCCCACTTCCTCCCAATGGCTAATATTCCTGATTCTCTTGCCTACCTGAGGAGCTGGAGGAGCCCAGGGTTTTCTGCTGATGCAGATTCTTCCAGGAATGCAGCAATGCCTTGGACTCTTTCAGCTTTCTAGGTCATGCAGAAATACGCTGAACAATGCTGACGTTGCCCCTGGTGAGACTCCCGGGTCTTAAATGAAAAAAAAAAAAGATCTGGGCGTAGGGAGATCGACCCAAGAGGGGAGAGAGGCTGCAAGGGGAAGTGGAGCTGAAAGTAATAAACACTTCTGTAAAGTTTCGTTGCAATATTTCGACATCCCCTTCCAATGATACGTTGGACTCTGGTTACTCTTGTCCTGTACAAATTTTGCCATTTCGTTTGTGTAACTTTATGAAGAGTGGAGACAATATGTTTTATACCTTGAAGGCATGCATTCTTCTTGGGAAGTTCTGACGTTTCAAAAACCTAATGAAATATTAAAGCGAAGTGCTGGTTGGGAGTCCTTGTCTTGGTGAATAATGGTGGGGAGAGCAGAGATCGGAAAGGAAAGTGATAGCTGAAGAAGAGGACGGGCAGCCTTTGGGCTTCAGGCCCACTTGCTGTGGCCACATTTAATGCCTTCACAAATGACAAATTGGAGAAGGGAGGGATGTGCCGAAAAACCAGGCAGGAGGAAGGAAAAGAGACGGAGAAGACTTTCAAAGCATGTGAGGAAGAGCCATTAAGGAGGCCGGAAGGAGGCCGGGGTGCTGATCCACTGCCGGAGCTTAATGAGAGTGGGCGAAAGAGAATCCGCTTGGGAGTTCTAGCCAGGGTCAACAGGGTGAGAAGGCAGCAGACCAGCAGCCTGCAGGAATTGCTCAGGGCAATTTGGCCCATCAAAGCTGGGCAAGGATCAGCAGCATGCAGGAAGATGCTCTCAGGGGCACAGCTGGCCCTTGAATCTCCCCCTTCTGGTTGCACTTGGCTCAATGGGGCAGGTGGGAGTGTCACCAGGGTCAACAGACCCAGCATGGTGGCCCCAGACTGACCTTCAAGAGCACAGCTGGCATTCCTGACATTTGCTTTATTCATTCATTAGGAGAGATGCCCGCCTGTATCTTGTTCCTTCCAATAATCTGATAAGCAATCAGATTATTCTCCCTGCTCCTACTTTGAGCCCCAATAATTAGTAACATGCTTTTCCAAAACTCTTTATCATACAGGCAAAAAGATTTATATAGCTTTTTCCAAAATGGATTTAAAAAATATTTATATACTGCTTTTCATTTTTTTATAAAAAAGGAGCAGTTACAAGCTCTCTGCAGACTGCAAGCTCACAATGAGGGGGGGGGTCTGCTGCAACATGGCAAAAGGGGAAAGGGGCGGGAGGTATGTCCTTCGGCCCTTTGTAGGCTGGGTGAAATGAGGTTGAAAGAGGAGAGCGCAAAGTATGGTCTGAAGCTCAACATCAAAAAAACGAAGATCATGGCCACTGGTCCCATCACCTCCTGGCAAATAGAAGGGGAAGAAATGGAGGCAGTGAGAGATTTTACTTTCTTGGGCTCCATGATCACTGCAGATGGTGACAGCAGCCACGAAATTAAAAGACGCCTGCTTCTTGGGAGAAAAGCAATGACCGGCCTAGACAGCATCTTGAGAAGTAGAGACGTCACCTTGCCAACAAAGGTCCGTATAGTTAAAGCCATGGTTTTCCCAGTCGTGATGAGTGGAAGTGAGAGCTGGACCATAAAGAAGGCTGATCGCCGAAGAATGGATGCTTTTGAATTCTGGTGCTGGAGGAGACTCTGGAGAGTCCCACCGACTGCAAGAAGATCAAACGTATCCATTCTTAAGGAAATC